GTATTCTTTAAATAATCGCTTGCAAAAGGTTACTACCTCATTTATTTTCATTTGTTATTCTTTGTATGTGCTCATTTATCCACGCTATAAGTAACCTTGTTACCCAAATCGGGGTTGAAATATTATTCGTATTATCTTCACTCCAACAGTAAAAAATCCACCAGCAATTTGTTTCTCTAATTTATAATAATACAGTGACGATGAGTCTCATAAAGTTTAGCGAAAAGCTCCATATAAATAGGTAGGGTCGCGTCGCGATGACAAGAGTGGTGGCGGTCGCCGTGTAACTTTGTTATAATGTGGGCGCTGTCATGAAGTTAAAAGACGTTTCAAAATGGATGGATAGCACTCAGCGGACTACGAAGATAACTCCCACGATTTATACATACATATTCCGTATGCGAAAATGCAGATCTTGGTAACAAGTTATAGTATACAGCCCATTTCAATTGGTTAGAATTGTGACCTTCAAGAAAGCTGCGCGAAGATAGAAAGAATACACACTAGGCGTGAGCAAGACAGAAATAGTTGGAACAAGCTAGAACGAGCAGAGCTCTCGATGGGCGGTCTTAGGAGATCGGCTAGAACTGTACAGTACTAGACGAAAATGTTTAGCAATTTCTTAAAACAAAAATGTATATAAATTAACAATAGAAAACAAAGCAAAAGTTTTATAGGTGTGTAGAAGGTTAACTTAATTCACTTGTTATTATTTTTGGTTAAATATGCTTTTAAATAAAGCATATTCTTAAATTTTAACGAGGCAGTTTAAATAATTTTTCAAATGGTACTGTACACTTTCGTCTAATTCTCTCTCGATAATCGGTGGAGAAATGAGCTCCGCAGACATATGATTGAATTTGAAATTATGCTACGGCGCATCCTAATAAAGGGAAAGGGCATATCTCTAGCTTCTTGAAATGAACAGTACTTATCTTTTTATATCAGTAAGAACGGCGTGCGAACAGAACACCGACCAGCATATCCAGGAAGGGTTAATTCGAATATTGCACTGGGTTAACACTGTGATTGACTATAGCCTATACAATTTGTCAAGGCTCACTCTTTCGCAAACGGAATATTAGGCAGGTAAGCATAATATATCCAAATCCAACGCGCAAAACCGCTAATTCTAATAAAGCTCGCGTTCGTATTTTTATTCTGGATAGTGGGTAGCTAATCGTACCTGCAGGACAAGAAAACTAATTTCGTACCAACTTTATTAAAAGAATGAGTAGGTAATATATAAATCTCCAGTTTTAAAAGCGTCTAATTTGATGACATTTAAATAATAATTCTTTAAAGATAAATGCGAAAAAAGAGTCGCGGAGTCAGTAGGTACTTTTTAATAAATAAATTCAACATTAGCAATATTTGAACATCAGAAAAACGATAGAATATCCCTAGATAGATCCTGCTAAAATATGAACCTTAATATTAATATTTACAGGTGCCATTTTGCAACTTTCTATTTCTCACATATATAGGAATTTTTCTTTTTTACAACAAATAGTTATCGATATATACAACCATTGATAACTATCGATAATTATCGAATACATCTATATACCGATAACTATAGACAATTATCAATATATATCGAGTTATAGATATATAGATAGTTATCACTTGGTATTATTGTTATCGATATATCGATAAATATCCAATAACTATCGATATTTTTATCCAACACTATTCAAATTTTTACCCCTCCCCCAATGATTTCTATATTTCTAGGTTTTGCAGTTTATATAGAGCTGTTTTCTAATTCAATAAGGTCAGCCTCTCGCGCATTTGAAGGCTTATGATATTTTGGACTAACTATACCTGAATGTCATCGGTAATTTAGCTAAATCTGTTACATTACATTTATTAACAACGTTCTCTTTTGAGAAATTGTAGGCATTATAAATGGCATTCTCTAATATTTTACCCTAATGCGTTCTACGTTCACTTTTGGAAATGTTTTATTCATGATAATATACCTACCTAAACCCCAATATTTTGCCCTTCTCGAATTTAGTGAAGCCGCATACTACGCATGTGGTTGAGAGTGAGTAATATCGGTTGGCATAACACCTTAATCAGGGATTATCTCGTGAAATCTGGCAAAACTTTATTCCTGTATCACCGAAATAAAATCCTGTACATATAGATTTTCTCATGATTTTTTCATGTAATAAGAATGTCCATATTATTTCCAAACGTTTTATAATAAAACAGGTATTGCTACAAAGTGTTTAATATACAGGATGTTCAAAAAAAGTTTAGGTAGGTACTTACTACTCTATTCTTGAAGATAACATTCTAATAAGGTAGAAGAAGATTAGTTACCCTAGACAAAAATTTTCAGTCTCTCAGAATCATGCAGAGCCTTTCAGTGTCTCTGAGAGCGTCTCTCACAGTCTTTCACAGACTCTCAATTATTGCCTAGGTGTTTTCATAGATCCCTCACAGTCTCTGTATGAGAGACTGGAACGATAAAATTGTTAATTCAGAGATTCGAGTCTCTCATAGAGAGACTGAATGAATAAAAGTGAAAAATTGAGAGACTCGAGTCTCTCGTAGAAAGACTGGGATCTCTGAAATATATTGAACTTAGAAAATTTTAACCACGTCTATCGAGACACCACTTATTGAGAGATTCTAGTCTCTCGTTCAGAGACTGGATACGAAATGGGGATTTCTCTATGAGCTACTCAAGTCCCTCGTTTAGGGACACTAAACAGTTTTTTTGACAGTCTCTCGACAGTCTCTATCAACGACACCAGAGAGACTCGATTAGAGACCCGCTTGCAGAGACTCTGAGAGACTGAACACTTTTATCTCGGGTAATTAACCGAGAGGTTTAGACCATTGCTTAGCATTCGGGAGGACGCCGGTTCGATTTCGGGTCCGTTTGCCTTGATCCAGGTTTTTCTGTGGTTTCCTTGGATCACTTAGGCAAATGCTGGGGCAGTAATATTTCACAGATAATCTTTCATTATTTTCTGTCTTCATTTCGTCCGTCTTATCTTTCTCACCCGAACCACCACCCATCCATTCCCACAATTCCTGAAAGGAGGCTGAAGAGGGCCTTCCGCCCTACCTTCCAGCATAGTCTGGAGAGACTGCCCGCCCACCATCTTTAGTGGCTGGTGGGAATGAAACACCCAAAAGTTTTTTTCTACCTGTTGGATGTTTTACAATGTTTCCTTAAACGCGGTAAATGTTAAAGAGTGATTTCCACCACGCGTCTCACTATTTTTCATGAAAGTAAACGAGGGGTACAACGAGTTCCGTCTGCCATAGCAACAATCACTAGAGACAGTATGTAACGTCCTCTTGAACTCATTAGCTTTTCAGCGATCGAGCCAGAGAAAGAGTATCAAAGTCGTCAAACCTGGTAGGCATGTCTTTGATCAGAATAACTATCTAAATATTTTACAATCTTTCTTGCTTCTTGTGCTCTTTCATTCTCTCTTTTATGTGTAACAACACATACACTTTCTTATCTTAATCCCAAATGATCAGTTTATTGTTCAAAAGTGTTCTCAAAAAGCGCCCTATATTTTAGTTAAATATGTTATTTACTTCTATACTAGGTATCTAATATTTCGCCGACCCCGTATTGATGTTCTGATTAAAGCTCTTATTATGTTAGGCGTACATGCAGCAACCTGTAATTTCGTTCTCCCGCTAGACTCATAATCCTCCTTTTCAATCAGATTATCCGAATAGATGGAAGGCATTTCGGTATATATTAATTTGTTCCTGTTTACACCTCTGCCAAGCATCAGTTAATCTAAATATACAGCGTTGGTAATCGATATACAGTCACTCATAGGTGGAGAAGTGTGTCTGTCTGATAATGCGAAATAAGTAAATACGTAAATGCCTAAACACATACATAGGTACTTGTCCATATCTTTATGCAAAACCAATGAAAACTAAAATTTCGTCATTGTAAGTGAACCGATGCGACGCGTATAAGTTGGACCATTACAAACAAAGATTCTTGTTGTTCATCCCCTACAGCATACCTACAACTAGCGGTAGACGAACAAGTTTCTTTTTCAATTGTTACTACCCCGTTACTGTTACATGTTTGATGTCGTATTTGACAACGGTCATGTTTAAACATAGGGCTGCCAACCGTCCGGGTTTCCCCGGTTTTGTTCTAGTTTCGAGAGCGTCCAGGCGGGGTTCTGTGTACTGTCCGGGGTTTTGTGTTTGTTTAAATGACTATAATTTGTTATGATAATCGAATTATATTTAATGGTTTTGAAGAACTAAAACAATGCCTCTCACTGCAAAATTAGTCGTAAAAAACGGATTCTGTTTAAATAAAGGTCTGAGGTTGTGAAATGTCTAATACATGACCAGATTTTACACTCAAAATCCGAGATTTTTCTTCTTCGTTTTCCGGTTTGTAGATTTTACTGATGGTAGGCCTTTTGAACATAGGAACTCATTTTGTAATAAATGCCTGCCTTTCATATTTCTGATTTTCCGAAGAAAAGTAATTGAAATAACACTCCCTTACTTATTTATGCGGAGCATGGACTACTCCTGATTATTCCTAAAACTCTCGGCAAATTCCTATTGTCATACCAGTCTTGCTCGTTGTATAATTTATGACTCGCAACTGTCGGCTTTGAGATAAATCAATGATACCGATTACCTGCGGCATTCGATCACAGGACAGGCAAAGTTAGTAATAACTTACGTTTACCGAATTTGACTCCATTTAAAACAATGTTATCAACTGTTCTTGGACGCAGTTTACTTTCATACTTTCTGTACTACAAGTAACTTATTTAATGTGCTTTTGTCATTACTTCTTGAACTGGTTCGTACGAACTATGTTGATGACGTAAACGTAATTATGCAATGGTTTTATTTTACTTGGGGTGCAATAAATTTAATAACTAATTAAAAATGATATATTAGTAACTTATTCGCAAATCTGGATTGTGCAGTTAAGTAATAATGTATTAAACAAAGTTTTACTCTTCCAGCTTGTTCTCCGACCTCCGCAACCTTTCCGGAACAGCTTTAATGAACCTCCTTGCGGCCCTTTTCATGACTCAACTTCTCTACGTCTTTGGCGTGGGAGGAATTACAGTAAGTACACTTGTTTGATATTAAATTAATGACTTTTGTTAAAAATTACTTGGAGCACAATCGATCCCCAAAACGTTTCATGAGAAATTAACTTGTTAACGTTTATACGTATATCATGCATTTACTGGGGTCAAAGAAGGGAAACGACTATTGTTATGTAGGAAGGAACTTTTTATAGATATATTTAGAAATGTAATTGCTTTAATCAAATATTATAGGCGAATTTATATAATTTTGAATACCTTAACCAATAATTCGTTTACCAATTTCATGTTAACCAATGGATAAAAATAGATTATTTACTTAAACAATAACTGCACTATAATTAATAAATAATTTACTGATATAACAATAATATTGTGTAACTGGGGAGCGTAGAAACTATCACAGGGTGATTAACGCAAGCCGCCTCACCGCCCTTTTTCGTGATACTGGAATCGACTACTCGATTATTATTAATGTTATTGATTCCACTATTTAAACGATCTCTAATAATGGAATAAATAATTTAGATGTACCAATTTTGTACCACTTCGGGTTTTGCGCCCAACATGTACATTTTTTTAAGAGATTCACTTATTTTGATGTAGTTTTCGAAAAAAGTTCGAACAAACTAAAAGAATTAGTCAAAAGATCGACTCGAATTACACACATGTGCAATAAATCTTGGGATTCTTTGAATACGTACCAGTAACATTTTAGAAGATGATAATCGTTACATTAATTATTATTATCGGAAACATGGAAATAATCATCTTTCATTATATCTAGAAAGTGGATAGATCATTTATTTTTAGAATTATGAATGTAGGTACATTTTACATTTCCGTTTTCAGGTGACAAAATTAATGAGCTAATTTATAAGGCTCGTGGAAAATTAATTCGAGTAATTCCCGTTAGAACCATAAGTTATGACAAAACATGAATATATCCCTCAAATAACGGATCGGTAAAGGCAAATGGAAGGTTTGAATGGATTAATCAAGACTCAAAAAATTCTAACAAATGCGAGTTGGACTAGCACTCTAAAGTACAGTGGAATAATAACTTTTTTCTTATTAATTTTTATTTAACTATTCTGTTTTTTCGATTTGATTCGTTTACATCAGAATTTTACCAGGGCTACAAATGCTATGAAAGCGATATAACATGTTAACCAGTGGTAAATATCGAAAGACTTATCAAAAAATATTTATCGAAACTATCCGGCCTTAGTTGGTCTCATCAGTACACCACAGGCAGCCCCAATGAACCATCGACCAAACAGAAGTTGTTACTGATATTTGCTGCTAACTGCACTGTTTCAAAACGTAGATAAGTTTGTTAAGGCTTTCGTCAAACTTTTTGAAATATTACAGTGTAATGTTCGTGGGTCTAACAAATTAACTTTTAAGAAGAAAACAATTTATTTACACTAATTATTATTGAACTTAAAAACACTACTGAATTATAACTAAACTTAGGTAATTATTCTATTTATTTACACTACTGTTACTATTCACTGTTCTATTTATTTCACTTCTATCACTATCAATTTATTTCTTGATTCACTTCTGCAACGGTCAATTTATTTCTTGATTCACTTCTGCAACGGTCAATTTATTTCTACTCTTTCACTTCTACAACGGTCAATTTATTTCTACTCTCCCTCGGCGATCGTCTCTTACTTTATATACTCTTTTGGGTCCTTTCTGGAACTTTCTCGAGCCGTCCGGAAAAGTTTCGTTTTCTTTGAACTGTTTATTAGCTTTCCCGGAACGCAGGTACGACACACACGTTTACAGATACGGCGCACATAAAGAAAGGCGCCCGCGGCTAGTCGGCGAATCGATAAGCCGCTCACACACACGTATGCCCGATCGCACACAAACACGCTCGTGCTCGTACCAGAATACATTATCAGATGGCGATATCCTGACTATACCTTGATATCATTAAAATTTTTAATATTTCACCGTACAGTCTGGTACTTAAATCCTTTTCATCGTTGTAACGGTTGGAGTAGATTTTCAATTTGTACGGGAATTTGTGGTTAGTTACGTTAGTATAACTACCTACTGATAGTATAACTACTAAAAATTCATGAATCTTAAGTAGTTTTCAAAATTCATTTATTCAAATAATACAGGACTGACTAGAGAACAACCTTTACAACTTGTTTTGAATAAAAATCAATGTAGAACAAGAGCGATACGTATACGTAACTAGTCTATTAGGTACCTATAGAAACACTAAAAACTGCTGTATCCGTTTCATATAAAAACAGGCTTTCTTTTGCAAAATCATATTATTAGACATTTTTAACGTATACAGAAAGTGGAATTGTAATTGATAGCGATCACATAAATGGATTAAATGACTGCAATTACGTAAAATCAACTCCTCTCTCTAAGGGCGCAACAAGGGTGGTCCGCGGGTGCCCGGGCACCCACTTGATTTGGGTTGGGCACAAAGTCAATTTCAGTCGATTCAGGTAATAACCGGACTGAAAAGTTCGGTTCAAAAGTTCAAGCTGGTCGAAATGATTTTTTTTAGTCATTTATAGTATTATAAACCGAAGTCAACTCAGCTGAACTCATTTTTTTTTTCGATTTTGTTGCAATATTATGTATTGATGATCTTTTTTTTAGTCATTGTAACGTTGTTGCGTCCCTGCCTCTTACGATAATTGAAATGTGTCTTCTAGGTCTGCTAAACCCGTCCAAATATAGACGGTTACGGGTACCATCATTAACAGTATTATGTTCCATATCATGCCAATCAGGAAAATCTCTCTCACTTAACCTAAACCCATGGCCCAAGAAGCCTTTACCTTCCATAACCTAACCGCTCTAGTGTACTGCATATCAGATCATATATTTCAATAATGGTCCACCCTCTTTTATCATAATCTAACGTAATAACATAATCAAAAGTCCAAGGTGCATACATAACCGAATATTGACATTTAAAACACGTTGAACATGCCAAAAAGTCAGTGATAATTTTAATTTTTAATTAAAGGTTCCTAATAAACGATAACATCATGAATATCGAAAGTAGGATCGTTAATTAATTTCATCTTTTGATTAAAAGTTTTAATAGTTAGATAGTTGTAGAATGTTTTTATACCAGACGAGATAGCTACATGAATAATTTTACAAAAATATACTTACGTTAGAAACATAGGTACAATATGGACGTGGTGATGATAATATATGTACTTATGTATGTTGCTTTCCTCTCTACGAGCTAGATAGAGAGGGCAGTTTAGGAACTTGGCTCTATCCCACTAGTTGGGAATATGAAGGTTTTAATTCATTTACTTCAGTAAACAGTTTAGGTACATTTAGAGGCCAATTTTAGGTGGTGGTGGGTCAAAGGGTCAAAGCACGTTTGAGATATCAAATCAAAATTGGTCTTTGAAAGCACAGCATGTTTAGAAAATGACCTTTTGTAGATTAAATTAGAATAAAATGATTCGAAGTGGTCTGTATTCTGTCGAAACTGCCAGACGCGGATCGCGATTTCGATCTTTATGGATCCCATCGGCGCGCCGCAGGCAGCTGCGACAGAATACAGACCAACTTTTACCTGCTGTCTTAACAGCGCGTTTTAGAAAATACCACAAATGGCGCGGTAAACGCCACCTGTAGTACGATGCTACATTTTAGGATTACGTATGTTCCAACAAGGTCCATTTAAATATATGGATATCTACTTGCTGAAATGAATTTTTTATTAAATTAGAAGTCTTTATTTTTATATTAAACCTATTTTGTACAAGCGCTTACTTTGTATAGTTTTTACAGAGTAATTGAGAAAGCATTTGCCTTCTAATCCTAAAGATTCTGAAGCATGGCAGAACTTCTTTGGTTAAGTAAGAAACACGGTAATACTACACCTGTTTTACCTAATTGTAAGTTATTTACCAATGAAAATAGCAATAAAAAAGTGACTAACGAAACAAAAATTTTTAATTGTTAAAGAAGGAAAATGATAAATTTTGTTGGTGGAAAATGAAATATTCTGCCTGTTTACTGAAAGTAATTATTAATTCTGTAAATATCAAAATTTATGAGACACGGGGGAAAATATTACAAAACGCTGCTTTAAATCAAAATACGAGCTTGTATGTATTAGGTGGCTCGGTAGGTAGATATATTTTATTCAGGATTATATTTTAAGTGAAAATTCTTGTCCTTTGCTTTCTTAAAGTTTGACGGTGGGAGGTAACATTATTTGCATTATAGGCGACGCGACGTACCCTTCAAGAGATGGCCATCGAGGCGTACTTTGAATGAATAAATTTTCTTGTATATGTATATATGTTAACGACTTACGCTTTCTATGCTAACAAGTACTCTACTACCACTTTTCAACTTTCAACCACCGACCGCTTTAAAGGAGGAATCCAACTGTAGATTTTTCGAAAACGGGCTAAGTACACGCTGTTAGTTACGTACCTACCTACTTGCGTCAACAAAATCCATTCAATATTTTAGTATGAAATGCGCCAGGGGTTTAATGAATTTTGTATATTTCTTTAAACATGAACTTTAACATCGAAATGGTCACACGAATTTTTCAGGTCCTTTATCAAATATAGTCAAACATTCAAAATAAACATACATACATACAATTTTACAAACAATTTTCGTTTTTTATTGAAATGAATTCATTGCTTTTATGTTCCATTACTACTACTCGCTACTTTTTACTTTACTACTGATATACAAGGGAAGAAAAAGTAGGGAAAAATTAGAAGAAGTGGTTAATTTTAGGTATCTAGGAAGTCAGATAAGTCAGGACGGAAGAAGTAGTAGGGATATAAAGCAGAGGATAGCGCAGGATCGAGAACCTAGCGGCATGGCCTAGAGCAGGGCTGTCCAACTGGCGGCCCGCCAAATTATTTGTTGCTAAACAATTACGGCCACAATGTCATTAATAAACTACGAATATTTTAGAGTTTTATTTATCTTTAGTATAAATAAAATATTTTTTTAATTATCATAAACTTA